CCCAAAAGATGTGAAAATAGTGACCAGGTTTTGACTATCATGAGGTATTAAACCATATATTTTAATTTTTATTTTTAAAGTTGTTGTTGAAAAAATTGTATGTTGATAGATTATTTATGCAAAAAAATGCATGTTATTATATTTTTAATGCAAAACTGTATTTTTTTAACTTCTTGTTAATGCATTTTTGAGTTGGAATGACCGATGTTAGGTGGCTCTGTGAAGAATTGTTTTTATTTGTTTTTTTGTTTTTTGTACATGATCGATTTTTTTTGAAAAATCGTGATTTTCCCAAAAGATGTGAAAATAGTGACCAGGTTTTGATTATCATGAGGTATTAAACCATATTTTTAATTTTTATTGTTAAAATTTTTGTTGAAAAAATTGCATGTTGATAAAACTTATTCTATGATAATTCTATATTTATCCTTTTGTGTGATGTAAATTAAATGGTAAATAGTAGTTCATGCAGGGAAATAATATATCAATATTCGCATATTCATGCAAAGAAATGAAAAGTCTTAATGGAGTAGCTTCATTTCTTATTGAATTCCTAAAAAACAATATTTATAACGAATTTTAATAATTTTTCGGAATTTTTTGAAGCTTTAATCTGACCGATTCAGCCAATTCCAGATCCGAATCGTCGATTCGTCGATGCGGATCGGTTTTTGAGGTGCGCGATCCGGGTCCCCGATCCGCTTTCTAAACCATTGGTCCAAATATTTCCTTATTAGAATTGTTATTTCTAGTTTTTAAAATTTATTTATTTTTCATATTCGTGATCTCCATGTTAGATATTACATGTCCTTAAAAATTAAGTTTTAAAATCCATCTCAAAAATAGATTTATTAAAAGGCTTGTACTTCTATGTATATGGGCATGGCCACATAAAAACTGGGTCCTCATATAAAATCATTGAAGTCCCACATCATGCCATTCAAGACTCGGAGTGTTATGTTTACTTTTTTTTAACAAGGCACCTCCTCATATGATCATTATCATCTTCACCAAGCTTTATTTCAATTATTTGGAATCCGCTACATGAATCTTGTTCTTCTATTATTTTCTATCAAAGGTCATATCTTAATAAGATCAAAAGTCAACGTATATTTTTTCACTACTTCTATCCTACCTCATCATACACTATGTTTTAAAATTATCAAATTGTTTCTACTTATGTTTGGAAACCATGAACAAGTAAAGA